AAATTACATAGGACACAAATTTGAAAGTTTATATTGTAAATAACATTTGAACAAAGCAAACGGAGCTATCCTCCTTAAACAACACAAGTTATTTATAAGAAAAAAAAATTTATATTGAGAATTAGGGAAACGTTTTTAGAAAAAATTTTATGAAATGGAAAATCTATGCCAACCCATCACATACATACTGTTGGCGTATGATTTTTTTCTAGTAACACAATTATTTGTCATTATGTTTTCTGTTGTGCCATCGGCATTTTGTTGTTTTGTATATCGAGTAGACCGATACTGCTGTTAAGGTCGTCTTCTACAATTTAATATTGACATTTAACTAATTTTATTTTTGTATAGTAATAAAGGCTCTCGTTGGTACAAGTCTTTATTATACAAAGCTCGTTATCGGTGTCCGGTCGGAGCGTTCGACCACCTCCGTCGTTATCTCTTGTCACATATTACTAGACTATTTAATATACATGTTATGTATGATGTGCATGAATGTAGTGTACAATACTGGACGTCCACCGGACCTACCGGCGGAGCACATTTCCTGTGGTGAATTCGCGATAACAAACTAGCGGTGGTCGTCACCACACGTCCACTGTGTACGGCTTGTGAGGATATTATTAGGATAATGTGTGTGTAACAACAGAAAATGAAATAAAATATACAAAACCGTGCGGGCTTAAGTGATTTTCGTATTGTTTTGAGCTAAAAACCGTGTAGAAATCGGTTGAGTGCGCGTCCGCCCGTGTGGTCGCCGGCGTGAGAGAATGAGCCTAAACAAACGGGCAGTTGATTCACACCTGAGGCCGTCATTACAACCCATTACACGTGGTGGCGTACCTCTGTACTATATAAATAGTATAAAAACCATGGGAACACCCTTTGTTTGCGTCTTGGGGTTAATTTTGGCTTAGTTTTATAATGCCGGCAAAACAAATTGTCCCCAAAGGCGAGACCGTCCCGCGACGGATCGTCACAGAACCCGGTCGTGTATTGTAGGACGTTAAGGCGACTAGCCAGGCCTATGTGCGTCCTGTCGTACCTATTAACGGAAAACAGAACTAAGTATAACCTCGCTTTTACTTTCCATTGTTATTTCTGTTCCAACATGCATCAAATTTACCAATATTATATGGGTAAAAGGAGGCACCCATATGAAAATACATTTAAAACCATCTACTGATTTCTAATTATAATAAGTAGACGTCGGCATTTTATTCTCTAGCATTTATTTTTTTGGGCTTCTCTTATGAAAATGGGATTTAAAATCTCAACGAATTGAAGTGTTTCTTTTTAATGATAACACTTCGTATGTTTGAGAATATTGCATGATAATAAACAGGAAACATTTTTCATAAAAATTAATTTTAGAGAATATATTGATTAATTTGTTGGAATTTCAATGTATTTTGTTGTGTATTAATTTCTTAAACCAGTTTTCTTTCTTTCTTTTTTAATTATTTATTCAAATTTACAGGGTAATGCAAATTTGATAAGGCGCTCATTTTCTCAGAAATTTGAAAATTTTACATTTTTGAAAAAATTTATTAGATTAAAAAGTTACAATAATACGTAATTAAATAATTTTTTTTTCTCCCTTTCAAGGTTACAGGTCGACTGATGTATGTACACTCCTCCTTAGCTACATATTAACCATGTAACGATTAAAGGCCCATAGGATAACAAAAATATCATATTATCTAGTTCTTATTTGAGAAAATTAAATTTAAGATTTTTTATCTCTGAAGGGATAAAAAAAACTATTTAACTACGTATTCTGTAGATTTCTAAATCTAGTATATTTTTCTCTTAACAAAAATTTAAAAATCTAAGGAAATAAGTGTTTAAGCAAATTTGGATTAACCTGTATACCCAGTGTTAGAACGAGTTTTTTACTTTGGAAAATAAAAGTAATTTAGTATTTTATAATTTTTTTAAACTTATGAAAGTATATTATCAGTTTAATAGAATATAATATAATAAAAGAACATTTTTAGTACATTTCACTGATTTTTTCAAGAATATTTTCAACTTTTTGAGAGAATATTAGAATCATATTTGTTGGCTGTTTTAAAGAATATTATACTGATCCTCAATAACAAATAAAGACCGTTTATTATTTTGCAATCTCACTTATAAATTGGTTGAGTTTATAAATATTATAACAAAAGAAAATTGTAATAAAGACTGAGAATTAGGTGTCTGTTTAGATGCAGTTTGTTTTGTTTTGTTGGTTATGTAAGACAAGTAATCGAATTTCATTATAATAAATATTATAAACGATATACACCTGACAACATCAAAATATTTATCTTATTTTTTGATATAAATAAATTATTATATTGTTATTTGTTTACTATTTTTTTTAATAATTATTATTACGTATCAAAGTACTTCTTTCGTGGGAGGTCTCCAGTTATACTAGATACGCTTTTTGCATTCTTATCAAGTTTCTCTTGCCCTCTTGAGTGGCAAGAGTTTGATTTAGGTATACAATAGTGTATATATATATATATGTATTATTATTATTAAAAAGAGTATACTATTACTTTATTATAGTAGTGTCTATATTGAGCAGTTGACCCTATTGGGAGCGTGTCCGGTGTTACGCTATATCTTATTTTCCTATCGTATTTTTTAGAGATCTTTGACTATCGAAGAGGTTATCGGCGGATCGGATCATGTCTAAGGTTAATTTTCCAGTACAAAAAGTACTGGAACACATTAGTTTGTCCAATTTGTTCTCGATATTCTTTTAATGCTCAACTGATATTTTATTATTATAGATAAATATTTCTATTTATAGAACTGACGTCCTAATTAGTCGTTAAAAATAATAGTATATCGTTCCTGTTTACGCTAAACATACTCCAAGAGTGGGTTATTACTAAAAAGAATATACTTTTAGTGACAATTAATTATACTAAACTTCTTTGTATATAACAAGAATTGATCACTGTGATTAATATTACTTAAAATTGAAAATATATTTTTTTCCTTTGTATAAATATAGTTAATCGGGTAAACATTATATATAGTTTGTACAATTTTTAAAAATGCATATTCTCAAAAAACCAATTTTCGTGCTCTGTGTGTTTTGGGTGAACGGGGTTACATTTAGTGTTTAATTGTATGAACCACGCCAAATACGATTTTTCTTATGACCAGTTCTAATTTTATTTTTATGAAGTTTGATTATGTATTTCAGAAAAAATAGTTTACATTTTAAAGGCATTACACATGTATAAAGCTTTTCGAATTATTTTTTATTTAGATGATGAAATTATGCTATGAATTTATTCATGAAACTATAATTTGACGAAAGTATCGTTCGAAAATATTGTTTACATAAACGGCAGCCTTGACATTACAACAACATGCGTTTCTACTCACATGTGAAAACAATAGTTTGTAGTAATCATTATTGTAGCACCACTAATAAACTGATAAGTATTATTACTTTTTAAAGTTAATCTCGATCGTCCAATTACGTTTGGACGAGTGATATTAAATTACAAAACCTAAGATAGAAGAATAATTCATTTTTTTGTATGCCTCTTGTTGTTCTGTTCGAATACGACCAATGGTTTGTTAGTGTGTATAATAATAACCCTGACCGAAATATCACATTAATATGTGATATTCGTTTTTCATCTACTGTTCAACTTTTTAGATTTTACCTTGTTTTACTTGTTTATACCCAATACTATTTTTGACATTGCAATAGACGAGTCCTTCAACATACTGCCACCATATTAATAATTATTATAAATTAACATTGAGAGTTATTAGCATCTCACTTTATCGATCGGCTAACTAACCCAGTTTTGTGTAGAATAATTTTAAAATAAATTTTATTTTTATTTTTTTGGGATACGTTCATGTGTATGTTTAAACAAATGCAACAAATACTGTCTAAGTTTTCAGTTTTCACATGCTATTTAAAATATCCGCGGTCTTAAAAAATTAGGTCGACGTCAACACTTTGCACACTAATACGATATTTCCCCTAATTGAATCGAAAACGTTTCAGATGTTCAGCAAAAGCGCTGTGTTTAAGGGAATTTGAAGTTATAAAGATAATTTTGTACATATCCGTATAATCTCAATTACCACTAAAAACTTTTGCGAACAACTTCTGAAACGTTTACGATTCTATAAACGAAACACACTGATAAAAACCAAACACGCCGATCTTATCTCTTAAGGTCGTGTATATATGTATTAGTGGCGCTATTAATTTTTTTTTTTTAAGTTTATTTGTCAAAAGCAGCGACGGTCATAATCGAGCAAAATATTTGTGTTTGTATTTAACATAAAATGCCAATTTGTTTTTTTTTAAATATAAAATATTTCAAAATTGTATAGCTGTATTATTTTAATCTATACGTAAATAATTAGGTCAAGTTTCCAGACGTTGAGGTTTAACTTTGATATTACAACAACCTCAATAACAACTATTGTTGTCATTTTATCTTGTAAATCATCTTGTTAAATTATAGGTGATATGTCTAGACCGTAGGTAAAGTAAGTGTACTCGTGGTAGTGTAGCATAGTCAATTTTCTGTGAGTTGAATCTATGAACTTATCGAAAATGAAATACTTTTCTTGGATAGATTTTCTACTTTCAGACAATGGCGGTAGTTATATTTTACTATGTCTCCGCAGGCTTATAAATATGTCGCGTGTGGATGTTAGTGTCAGGGTGATTAACTTATCAGATAATTTTGTGTTACCAATATTCAATATAACTGTTATTGAACTACAATTATAAATTATCCTCCCTGCCAAGTATACCTCGTTTATTAACGTGACGATACAAGTTGAAAATATTTGCATTTTAACACGTTAAAAATGTATTAAAAGATAATTGATAGTATTTAATTAAATTATGTTCTTTATGAATAAGAAAAAATGAAAACAATCTAGCGCATGTGTGTAAGCGTCCCGTGTTTATTGTAAATAAATTATCCAATTAATTATTTTTGTTGTTTTAGGTTTATCGGAGTCGTCTGAACAACTGCATCATGTGGTGGTCAGCACCGATATTTGTAATGTTAGTGGAGGAGGAGGAGGAAACAGCGAAACTGCTGGTACGGGTGGCGAATATGACACTTCTGCTGAGGAAGACAGGGCGGCGGCGGACACTATCGACGAGCTCAACAACCGACGTGACGTCATTGAATCGTCAGAACAATCTGAACCGTCACCCGCTATAGTTATACCGCTTCATCATAATGTTACTTTGGATGGCGGTGGCGGTGGTGGTGTCGTTGTCGTCGATGATGTGGTTACGGTGGCGGTAGATGAAGAAAATGGCGGCGGCAGCGGCAGCACGGGAACGCCCAGCATCGGCTATGGGTCGCCGGCGGTAGATGGTGCGCCGGTCGGTAGGACGTCTTTCGATGCGGAGGAGGAGCCGGCCGTCGCTGTCGTCGATCGGTTACAGCAACAACCGGTTCACGGCACGACAGACGAACGGCCGACCGACAACGTGTATGTACGTCGCGATGATATGAACTATCAGCATCAGCAAACTAGTCTACCGCAGCAGCAACAACATCAAGTGGTCGTGGTTAATCAGCAGCAGCAGAACAACAACAACAATAATAATAATAACAACCACCGATACGATATGTTGGTGGCACAGAATTATCAACAGTCCAAGTACGTCGGCGGTCGTGATTTAATGACCATGTTCCCTCAAGTAGTGGCCACCATTGATGGGCAACAACAAGACGACGATGACGAGTTTTACGATCAATATCAACAGCAGCAAGTCTTTCATCAACAGCAACCCAAATTCGAGCATATTGTATTGAAACAAGAAGTGCACGATCGGATCTCTCACAGTATGTACGCGACCGCTATTGATTACTTTCAAGATCAACAATTATCAGTTCAGCTACAACAAGAACAGCAAAACTGCTCGAGCCCAGGAAGTTCGGCCGAGGGTTACGACGAAGAGGTAGTAGCCGCAGCGACCAAAGGTGAGCTATTAGACTTGCACTTGCCACCCTCCGGTAGAGACGATGTAGCCGTCGGCCAGTCTAGTGCGTTTGCACACCTCGTCGCTGTTCTACACAGTGATTCGGACAGTGCGTCGCCTCTCCAAACTCACTACCAAGACGACCAACAGCAACAAGGGTCACCCACGGTTGTATGTCAACCGCACGTTGCTGACCACTCGTACACACCATCGTCATCAACCGAACAACAGCAACAGCAATTGCAACAACATATTTCGCAAAATCACTCGACCGGCAGCGGTTATCATCACGTATCGTCTGGAAATGTAATTCATCAAAACAATGTTTCTAACATTACAAGGTGAGTTAATTACTATTTTTTTAGATTTTGGATCGAGTGTCGCTCTCAGTCTCATTAGTCATAATCGATTAGCTACCTAATTAATGTACTATATCTAATTTTCAATGCATCTACACTAGTAGTTGGTTACGTTACGTACAAATTGAAATAATATTAAATTATATACATTAGATTTAATTTCGTACTGACCGACCACGTGACTGCTTTGATTTCATTAGAGGTAATCTTTTTAATAGCGTCTGATCAATTATCAGACGGTTACAAGTGATATCAAACTTCAGTTTCGGCACATAATATAGGACAATTTTTATTTTTGGAAACTATTGAACGTCGTGTGCGCGTGTGTGTTAACCTTTCAGTAATTACTCCAATAACACAATTTCCTGTCTGTATTTGTCTTGTTTCTCTATTGTGTATTCCATAGGAATGCCCTGGATGTTATTTTTAGCCGTATGAAACGGCGACCAATAATCGAGGGGCTTAATGTGCACCTTAAATTTTATGATTTAACAGCACAGAAAAGTAATGGTCTGACTCATTTTATTGTAACGTCGACCATAATGTGCACTCTGCGAGCATGTAGAATTATTATGAATGTTATCAAATCAAACATTAACTACGTCTATACTGTCAAGGGACAACTCTCTTGTCCATTGCTTTCTGCATTTAACATGACGGCATTGAATGACATTATTAATACCGTTTTTATATTTTCTAACAAATTTGAATGTTATAAAATATATCTTATTTTTAATTACTGACAACTTGCTTTTAACGTGGAAAATCAGGTTTATTTGCGAAATATTAACATTTTATCTACGAGTATAAATGACGTATTAATAATATATTTATTAAATAAAATCATAATTAACCTATGTGTTATATTAAAAATTTCAATTCTCTAAAACACATTTAACAACTTTAGATCATTGCTAAAATTTAGTTTTTGCATTAATTTTTCCCTTTTTTTCTGCCTTTTAAATTGAAGTTGCTAATTTTTTATTGAAATTGTCCGTAAAAATTGCGTTTCGTATGCATAGTGTGTTCGGGTCGGAGAGGAAGGTTTTTATTAAAATTGTGGAATAACGAATATTGCGTTATCTCCAATTATTTTTTACTAGTATGACTAATACTTTGATAAACGAAAGAATAGAATATACGTTCGACTCCTCGATTCTTTCTGATCGACGAGATCAAATGATCCACAGCATAACATAATCCAGTTTTTTAGTATCCAAGTTAATAAGAGTGCATTATTTTTGCACTGGGTGCTGAGTGTATTATTAAAATGATCCAGTTCATTTGTGAAAAATTCACGTTTTCTGAAAATAATAATACATTTAATATTATAATATTTTGTTACTAAAACGGGCGAGGTCGTATGCCAGTCGTGCTTAGACCGTAAATTACATGCACTTGTCGCCAACAACTACCTGACGTTTATTGTATTACCGATATGATGCNCAACAACTACCTGACGTTTAGTGTATTACCGATATGATGCAGTACACGCGTGTCGTCCCCTCCCTCCCCTCGCCGTTTGCGATTATTAGCTAGTAAATCATTTTTTTCACTTTACTTTCTTCGTTTCTTTTTTTTGTTTAGAGATTTGTCGAAAAAATAAATAATAAGAATTGATTTTGTAATGCGCTAACAGGATTGTCCGAGCACAAACGTTGCCGTAACAATAACAAGTAATAATAATTATATGGAATTATTCTTCTTAGTGATTCATTGGTTCCCAGAACAAAAACCCAAACCATCAGCACAATTGGACCCTATGGAATATAATATGTTGTGTGTGTAATTACTACAGTACTCTATCGGCCGCCGACCCTATTCTCGACTCGTATAAACATTTTCTCCCGTGTCAATACGATAATATGTTTCATGTATAATTTTATTTGTAGTATTGGTATGTCCATTATTCGTTTTTAACAGTTCTATCTTTAAAGACGTTTAATAAAGAAAATTCTTATCCGGTACTGGCCGCCGACTGATTTAAATCATTATTATTTATTAATTGCCTTTATCTGTATAAATGATATTGTGAATTTGTCTTGGCAGATTTTACGATTACGTCTCTTGCGCCTTGACGTTTTATTTGCTCTTTTGGTTATTTAGTCAATCGTTTTTTTACGAATGAAAATTATTGATTCTACACTTTTGAATATCACTTTCCATAAACATAACACAGTACCGGTACAATGACAAACTTATTTGATATTAATTATTCTATTTAACGCGTTTTTATCATTATCTTTGGAAATCTTATAATAATTCGGCCAATAATATTGTCGTACCGTTTACCGACTTGAATGATTTAAAAAAATAAAACGAGTATGTTTTAACACAATGGTTCATTATATTTTTCTCTAGACCACCGGCGAATCTATTGCGTTTTATCTTAGAGATTGTTTTTGCCCTAGATTCATTTACATGAAACAACTTACTTCAACATACAAGATACTAGAGAATTTTGTTTTATAATCGCATTTATTTATTTATGCCAGCATTTGTCTAGTACAGTATTATAAATTTTCAATTGTCACATTACAACGTGTCCCCTCAATTGCTTTCCCTGTGAATAACGTTAACCCGTAGTCAAGTGCGCACTGTTTTTTATCCCTTCCTTCAAGTCGACTTAATGAATAAACGGTAATTGTTCATCCAACACGTTCTCGTATGTGTGTGTGTGTGTGTGTTTGTATCATTGCCCATTGTGACCAGGCAGGCATACACATACATTCTACATAATGTGTGCAAAGACCGTGTAAATTCATTATTGCTCTGAAACATTTGTATGGAAAAAAATAAATGTTATATTCATGCTGGCGACCGTTTTTTTTTCCCATCTAATTTTATGGACGCGATTTAAGTGTTTTTGCGCGCGCGCTCGCCAAGGACAACGCCGCCGCCGTTGCACCGTTGCCTGTATAATTTTATGTTTGTGTGCCTCCTCCGCCCGCGTCCTTTTTATTCCAACCTTCCAAGCATTACGGCCAAGATGGACAGTGATAATATCGAGTTTTCCAATCCAACTTGGACGCTTAATTATCGATACGACCTTTATTCAATCTGGTCGAGTGTTTTACGAAAAACCATCGATTGTTGTTACCACCAAAATTTAATTACACATTTGAAGTCATTACACAACGAATGTATATTATTTGTTTGATTTTATTGAATTTACACAAAAGAAAGCCAAGTTGGCCTTGTGTGTGTCTAATAGAAATGCCGCCGTGCTTGTCTTTTGTTGGGCCGTCGCATCTATTGAAATACGATCGGATAGCGATGCCGAAGTCTATTTATACGGGCGCGGTCTAAAGAAGGCAATCGGAGATGAAAATGTATTGCAATGTACACAACTTTTATGACGACGTTTCATCATCGTCACCAATGAGGTTTTGTCACAAAGGATCGACGGCCGCTAGGACTTTGCTTGCCTAAGCACAAATTCGCTGCTCCGACCGACGTGTACCCGGCCGAGCAGTCGACGTACACACATTTTAATAATAACAAACTGCTGGAGAGGTGATGGTGTCCGCCGCCCACAGCCCGCTTTGTTCGTTCCAAGAATCTGCCGTCGTGTTTATACTTTAACTGCTTTTTTTGTAATTGCTCTTAACGGATCGTTTTTTTTTTCCTTTCATACGCCACCTCCCCACGCGCTTACGTCGCCGTCCGCTTTTGTCCCAACGGTCATTCCGCAACACAACAATAGGGGGTTGTGTCCCGTTTCAGTGGGTGCCCGTGTCGCGTGCAGGTGACCATCTTGGACATCGACCGTGAATCCTCATGCGGGGGCTGCTGACAGTTATTCCGGGCGAATGTGGGTAAAAAATACGGTCGTTGTTAAAAATCTATACACGTGACCAAAAACGGACTCGGAATCTCGCGTAAAGGTACATCAATCTCGTTTCGATGAGATTTCTCAGTAAGAACAATAAACAAAACGATTATAATAATAATAATAAATATGTGTTCGATCGACCAGCGGTCTCGCGTTACATAATGTGTCATAATAACAACAAACGATGACGGTTATTATATTTATAATAATAATAAATAAACGACTAGCGTTCATTTCGTAATTTTTTATTTTGGATTTTTAATTATAAAAAAACGTTTTCACCATCGCTCGAACTCAGTCTTGAAACATGTTTACACAAACGTGCACTGCCTGTTTGAGGACAAGGCCAACACACGAAACGCATCGTAAAACATTTATTAATATTTGTCTTGTATTAATAATCATGTTATTCGAAATCGATCATTTTTGTTACAAAATCAATTATTTGTCACGGTATTGTTCGTTTAATTTTTCCTGACGGCTTTTGTGTGTGTGCGTTTTTTCCTCTGCGCAAGCGATTTGGTCGACTATCAGTAACTCCGACGACTCTGAGGTTTATTGTTGTTCTAATAAATCCAACGAAATCTTAATGAAATCTGCGGTATTGTATTGTTATTTTTGCTTTTTGAGAAACCCGAAGAATTCGCGTTGGACACCGTTTATCTTATGCGGCTTTAAACACACATACGATCACGTTTTAACCTGAAACCGTTGTGACATGTTTTCAAATCCAAAATCACGTTTGTTATCATCTCTAGTGTTACTGAAAAATATTAAGCTATTTGAAACCGTTTCAATGCGAGTTCTACAGTCTTAATATCGACTAAAACTTAATTTTATATATTAATTTGTTATGGCGTTGGTTGTAAAAGTAGTAAGACGCGTCTAATATATTTACTGTAGTGTATCAGTTAGTTTTTTAAGAATAGTGAGACTATAGGGGGTCGAGTAAAAAAAACTTAATTGTCCTATGTTTATTATTATTATTTTTGAACGTACTGATAAAACTTTCTACTTATCAGTTTGCGATTGAAAACATTCCGAGGAGTTATCATGTTCTCATCTATGTTCATTTCGAAGGTCTGTTTATTGTTTTTTTTTTTTTTAGCTATGAGCTAATGTGTAGGAAAAAGAAAGAAACAATTTTTTTTTTGTGTCAATTCGTGCTCAGGCCGGCGATTCGATAGTTGCCGGTTAAAATAATTATCCAATCCGATTGAATAACACGCGTTCGATAAGCTAACCCAAAACAATCGTGTACCCCTCCTCTCTTGTTTTTGGTGTCCCAGTGGTCCGTGGTTATTATGATGCTCGTCCGAGGCTGAACGTGTCGCCCGACAAAAACATGGGCGGCAAGGTCGCATCGTAACGCCGTTACCGTGGAACTTTGTGTTCGCGTCGGGCGTCGTGCAACAACAGTTGGTGCGAAAAGGGCTTGTCAGGCGGATCTCCAGAGTGTCGTTATGTATGACAGGATCCGTTTCGTGATAGTGCTGCCTCAGTAAGCGTTGATGGTCCCCCTTTTTGTCGCGTACACACTATCGATTTAGTCGTACTAAAATATTAAAATTTAATTTTTTTTATCTATTCCATGAGTAGTACTTCCATGTACCAGCGGAGTAACAGTACCGGAGGAGGTGGAGGCAACTTGTACCCGGCGTCCGTACAACAATACTTCACGCCATCGCCCGACTTGGTCAGTCAACACGCCAACAATATCATCACGTCCGTGGCTGGAAATCACATGTGGTCGACAGGTAAGTGTCGTCGTCGATTGCGTTTTCATTCGACAAAAATAGCGTCGATGTGTAACATTTTTTGTGCATTTTATAGTTGTCCCTGAAGATGGAAATTACTCCCCGTCATCTAAACAGCAAAGCAACCAGAACGGCGGTCTTCCAGCTTTTGGTCAGCGCTTTGCCACCCACACGTCTTCCTCTTACACGGGTGTCGGCGTATCATCCAGACCGTCGTCGACGTCGTACCATCCTATTGTAGCCGCTGGGGGTTACCATTTGACCAACAACGCTGGATCGGACGCGGCAGCCACTTTGCAGTGGGCCCATGGTTATCCTAATACCGACGGCTCGATAAACTACGTCACTATGTCAACCAACACCAATCCAACCGCTGGAGTGAGGAATAGATCTACAGCTACGTTTTCTGCAGCCGCTTCTCTTTCAGCCAGTGAGTATATTTCGTTATCGTTTACTGAAATTCCTCGGCAGTCGTATTTTTTTCCCGCGATGTGCCACATAAACAGTAGCCTACAATGTTATTAAAAAAAACGCGCGCCGCCCAGTAATAATGTGTGTTAGGGTAAAACGACACGGGGGACCCATTAGAGAAAAAACTACAATCGATTCTGTGTTGTTAAACAACTTTTAAGGGACGTCGGAGCGCCCCCCGTCGCCAAGGACGGATAAATAGGTGTCGGCAGTGGTGGGGGCCACCCAAGTGGACAGGGATACTATGCCACCGCTGAAGTTGCGAAGGAAAAACAATGTGTGCTAGGAATCGTCCCTTGTTGTAACTCGAGGTGTTTGTTTCGCGCGTATGAGTGACCGACCGCCGCCGCCGCCGCCGAATCTGTTAGCCATTAATTTACTGTAATATAAACGGGACATCTTCACGGCCGCCATGGTTGTAGCGTACACTTGTTTAGTACACGTTCACCACACGCATAACTTGTGTTATATATATATATGCCGGCAAACACGTGTTTTCCCATGAGTTGGCGAACGTTTACATGTCTTTAGAAGACCCAGTAAACAATGTTGATCACATTTCGCACTAACGGTTTTCGTCCCTTGTCCAAACACCCACCCACGCGCTGATTAATGATCTAACAAAAAAATCCTAATAAATAATATTAGATGTGTTTTCGGTACTTGGCAAAACGCGTGAATTCTGTCGATCTTAGGTTTTTTTTCTCTTGCCGTCGACAATATTCGGGTTTTTTTTATTATTTATTTATAACATTTTATACAGGCAAAGCCCTGTATAAAATTGTGTACTTTTCAAATTGTGTGGGTTTATTGTGTACTTTTTTTTAACCCTTCAAGCAGTAGTCATGTTATGTTGTATACCAAACAAATGCTTGTAGACTGACTACAGTGTTGTTATTATGTGTTTAGAAAGGGAAAAAAAAATTGTTTTTATTAAATATTAAATCGACTCTGCATTTTTAATCGTTTCTTTTAATAACAACAGTTGACTTTTAAAATCCTATTATATTTCGGTGACAAAGATGTTGTCTCATAACATAATAAATACGTATTGGCCATGCACAGCATAAGTATTTTTCGACACTCGTGATTATTTAATTTTTCAATACAGACGTGTAAAAGACCAATACAAAAAAATATTTATAAATCATCAGTAAACGAATTTAAACTCGACTAAATTATCCAAATACATAATATTTTGTTGTTATATTATTTCATTGGATCAAATNATTTATAAATCATCAGTAAACGAATTTAAACTCGACTAAATTATCCAAATACATAATATTTTGTTGTTATATTATTTCATTGGTCCACGTTAGACGAGTATTGGCATACACATTGTAACTGTTGCGTAGAGATTTACTATGGAACCCGTACGAAATAAAATATTAACTAGGTTGAGCCGTTAACGTTGTTATCGCCGTGTTTTCCGCTTAAATCATTTTTATTCGGTTTAAAGAACATTTTTCTCAAACGGTGTATGCCCTACCACGTCACATTTAATGCGCCTGTTATTTTTTTTTTATCGCTAAATATTCCTTTCTTTCTCGTTAAACCATCGGCGGCCCGAGCTATTTACGTACGAGGAAAACGGAAGCTCGTTATCGTCGACGAACAACGGGAAAAAAGTAGTTACTGAAGTAGTCCATTGTTGCAAAAAAAATAAGTAAACCTACAAATTACTGAATTATATATGCACCGTCGTGTTGGAGTACCGATCAATAGCCTCGATCCACTTCGAAACCATTAGCGAGTCGAGTCACCAACTAGTCCGTTTTATTGTCGTGCCAGGCGATTTGTTATTCGAAAAGGAAATTTCATTGTCCCTTATTTTTTTAATTTTCAATTAAACACCCAAATGTTAATTGTGATATGTATTTATTTAATGACATGCTCTTTTTCATTTGGACTGATATTGGAAAATTGTGATTCAATCACATGTTGAACGCGAAAGCGTTGTTTTTTACCAGCACAATCGTTGACTAGCCATATGATGCGCGTAAAAAAAAGGCATTCTTCGAAATCCGACTCTTGTGCTCTCCTCCTAATCGGATAATATCGACACGGTCGTGTTTCATTTGTTTTTCTAATAATATTTATACCCAAAAAATATTATACCGACACATCGTTGTACACGTGTTAATCGTAAGGGACATTTGACGGCGGTCAGTCTGCGATAGAGATGCGCCCCGTGCAACCGATACGTCGCTGTGATTATCATATTATTACAACATTGGCATGGGATTGTTTTTATCGAGGCGGCGTGTGTCCGAACAGGACGGCCGCCGGCGAAGGGTCATGACATTTAGTGTGGACATCGACACTGCTGTTGTTGGTGGGTGTCCATTAGATATTTGCTCCGTATCGCGCACGAGGGACGCGCTAAAATATTATCGAATCTATTAGACCCCTTTTTTTTTTTTTTTGTTGTTTGTATTCCCAATATTTGCCCATCGGCTCGTGTGCTGCTGACCACCGGCGGTCGTCAAATATTTATCCATAATTTCGTGGCGCTAAAAGATCTTTACCCCGACCCGGAATCGCCTTAGTAGGTCTCTCCTATTGGATTCCGCAAAACGCACAGATTTCTTTTTACAACATCACACCTTACTTGCGTTGATAATATTAATTTACAAATCCTAACCGCCGGTTTGTTTTTTTTCCGCCGTGATCGTGAATGTACAGCCGAGGACTTGTTAAGAGAGTGCGTCAACTGCGGAGCCATATCGACGCCACTGGCCATTATTTGTGTAACGCTTGCGGACTTAATCATAAGATGAACAGGCCTTTAGTGAAACAACCTCGACGGCTGGTTAGTAGAGTGCCCTACTTTGTACTTGGTAATTTTGCATCGGTTGCATGCTAACCGTACTTGGCTTTTATTGTTCTTCTTTGAACATAAAGCTTTTTATCGGGTGCAAAACAAACGGGCATCTCTCTCCGTCGTCCAGGTAAGTCGCGTCGTCGATATCAACGAGTGAGACGACACCCTTGTGGAAATCCCTTTGGCCAGTCGTCCGGTTCATGTCGTTTGCGTTTGTTTATCTCCTTTATTTTAATAGTTCGAATAAGTCACGTTCCACGTTAATAACGCTGGCGGCATCATTATCACCGCCAGGGACATTGTTTATTGGTTTTTTTCGAGTGTACACAGAATTACAATATTATTTTTTATTTTGTTGTTCCAGTGGCTTCCGCCCCGAGCTCGTCCGGCACTGGGGATTTTTATAAGGGCACTCTGTATCACCATGTGCCCACGAATTACGGAAGATCACCTTCCGGAGCCAGTGCACTGGAAGAAAAAACAACCAGGAGAATGGTACGTATACAATTAACTACACTGAGCTCTTATTTATTGTGGTCGCGTGTGCCGTTGAATTTCCCTTTTGGTGGTTTTCATGGAAATTGTAGAATTTCGACGCTTTTTTTTTTAACAAATNCAGGAGAATGGTACGTATACAATTAACTACACTGAGCTCTTATTTATTGTGGTCGCGTGTGCCGTTGAATTTCCCTTTTGGTGATTTTCATGGAAATTGTAAAATTTCGACGCTTTTTTTTTTAACAAAAAGACCACAATATTATTGTGTGCGTTAAGACTGTCGGGTCGGATTATCGTGAAGTCGACGTTCATTCATGAAAACTAAAGCGATACCTAACCAGTGCCGAAAACATACAAATTGATCACGTAGTGTTTACGGCGGTTAGGCTGATAAGAATTTGTGCGAAGGTCGGGTAATATTGCGGTCTTTCTTTTTATCTAACGGCATTGGGAATATTTTTATTATTAACGTTTTTTCGCATTTCAACACATTTGTTTACCGTTTTTGCTCGTGAAAATGTTACAAAGGATTTTATTGTTTTTAAATAGCAAAATGCATCGAGGCGCCAAGGATTGCTATGTACTAATTGCCAGACAGGTACCACGTCGTTGTGGCGGCGAAATCAATTGGGCGAGCCCGTTTGCAACGCTTGCGGTTTATACTACAAACTACATGGTGTAAAAAGGCCATTGACCATGAAGAAGGACTCTATTCAGGTAATTTTTTTTTCACTTAAGTTTGAATAGACTTCGAACGACGCATGTGCAACCGTGAACTGGTTAATGGCAAGTGATTGTAACGGAATTTTTTTTTATTGCAGACGAGAAAACGCAAACCGAAAGATGGATCTAAAGTTGAATCCGAAACTAAGAGGATCAAAGTGGAAATACGTGAGTGTAATTAATATTTTATTAAATCCGTAACGTGTGTTCGTCTCTCGAGTAACTTACTTGATGTTAACGAGTCGAAAAAAATGCATCAATCACGAGTTCGTTTTCCTCTAGTTATTATCATAAACCATTTATAATTAGTCATTGTTATACAGTCGTTACTGATAAGCAAATTTTTTCTCATTATTTAATTCTGTTCTCTATTGTCACATAGCTAATTTCAATAAACAAATTTAATGTAATATAATATATTTTTTGCTTTTCAACGCGATTTCTTTCCGTTGGAGAATTTCTCTTTGAACAATACAAATGTATTTATTCTTAAATTATCCAAATTTTAGTTTTAACTATTGATGTAATTAATTATAAAGTTCGAAATGATTATTTAATTAATTGATATTATTGTTGTTGATTTTAAATTAATTCAGTGTGTGTTATTTGGAAATAATACATTTTGTTTACTCCTATTGTTTCATAGGAAATTCTATTAAGGCTATCATTGAGTTGCACGAGTTGTGCATTTACTTATTATTAAAATATGTGTATAAAATTTCATTTACTAATCAAAATTTGTTTTTGATAATATTTTAGCATCTGAACATAACTACAGTGATTGTCATAGAACGTCTGGTAGTGTTTTAAACCATGGAAGTGTAAGCAATGCTCTAACTTATACCAGCATGTACCAGACAGCAAATATCACTCCATACTACGATGTCATTAAATCTGAATCTCAAGATCCCATCAACAGCCCTCATATAGTTAGCCTTGCTTCTGCTAACAATAATAATAACAACAACAACAACAATAATAACAATAACACCAGCAACAAAGATAGACCCAGTGTGTTGTCTATGTCTGTAATATCCTAAAAGATATTTGTTAACTTGTTTTTCCCTTGACTATTCTATAAAATGTTATCAACTTGTTGGTTTTTTATTTTATTACTATTTTTACTTTTATTGCATCTCTTTATCTTTTACGAACAAACAATTTAATTATTATGTTATTTTATTTAATTATTATTATTATTATTATTTTTATTATAATTTACCTTTAGATTTACATTACTGATGGAAATGTAGGCAATTTTTTTTAGAAACATGATATTATTTAGTCTTTTGAAAAAAAACCTCTAAGCAAAGACTGTGTTGTATATTTTTAATAATTTAATTTCAGGAACTTAAATACATAAGCTCATTTTAACAGTAAATATTTATGGCCTATTTGTATAGTGCATTTTATTATCATTCACAAGTACAATATTTTATTTTTATGTTTTAATTGAATCTCTTTAGACATTTGTGTTTAGTAGAATTATATTGTACATACTTACTAGTAAGTATTTTATTAATTTATTGTAAATAATTGATTTATGTTGAAATCAGTTGCTTAAATAACTTCTGACTTGCAATGATATCTGATAATTGTGATTAGACAATATTTGAAATCTCTTAAATTTGTGATACATTGATCTTAGATAATAATTGTTAACTTTATCTTAATATTATAGCATGATTTAAAAACTTTATATATTATTTAAGATATTTTATGTTATAATGATGTAATTATTCTATTCAAGTTAAGCAACTGACATTATTTTATTTAATTTATGTGAAAAATCAATTTATTTTTAACTCTGAGAAGTGCATTTGTTTGTGTTATGCCAAACTAATTATGGTTGAAAATAAATGTATTTGGTTCTTTATTTGATGTTTATTTATATTTTATTAGACAATAGAGTATTCCTTAATTTATTATTTATCTTATTTAACTCATTTAAACATTTATACCATAGTTATATAAAAATGTTAAAATATTTTCAGCTATAAAAATACTATTTACTTTTTAGAACAAAGTACATGTTATTTTTATATTATAATATTGCATAATGCTTTTTTATTGCTTGAGCAGTATTTATGTGTTTAAGTCGCAGGTTATCTGATTGTTAGAAAGTTGTAATTTTTTATAATACTAAGAAAGTATAATCACCAACTTAATAGTTGCTTTTTTTAATAATCATTAAAAATTCTCTTTTCATTACATACATGTTTGGTACGAAAAAAGTAAAACAATATCAAACCGGGATGCTTCGTTCTTTGCACTCCTTTACTAGTAACTGAAAGTTTTAAATACTTATAATAAGAATTTCAAAAGTAATTTTGTTTAATAGATGTTTTATTATATTTAAGTAACTAAAATTATATTTTTGATGACTTAATATAAAAAATAATCTTCAAAATGGTTCATTAACAATGTCATTATAGTATTTATTGTTATTTTCATAACATGTATGAAAGATTCCTTTCAGGATAAAAATAGTTATTTATTTTAATTTAGATTGCTGTTTATCGATTAATTATTAATAGAAGTTAATCAAACAATTTGAGAGAAATAATTCTAATTAATTTTATGTTGACATTGTGGTGATTAAATTAATTTTTATTTTGTTCTAATACTGTATTTTATTATATTAGTAATACTGTTATCTCATTAAAAGTACTTTCAATCCCGTTCGTTTGAATAAAAATAGTTGTTTTAATGAAAATTATAAAGTTTAAATAATTCCATAATTTATTTATTACGATAATTTCACTGAAAATTTTTCAGTAAATAATAGCTAAAAAAATTTTTGAATTTCTAAATATTGAGCTGTAGAAATAAAAATTAAATGGGTTTCAATTTCTTGTGAAAAATTAATTTTATAAGTACAGTCTTGTATTTAATATTTTATCCATAATAATTGCATTATAAATTTTCAAAAATTAAAATAATATTAAGATTAGTTTACAAATTTAGCATAAATAAATGAAGAAAAATGTTATTACCCTAGCTACCAACTTTGTTTAGTTTAGTTGAATTTGAGTTGTTTTGCGAGCTGAAATTGTCTTTAAAAATTGCCTTCAATTTTGCTGTAAACAATACGTGTGAATCATAAATATACAACTTGAATACATTGGCGGTGATTGAGAAGAACTTGTTAATGACTCCCGAAAGAGATCATCCTTCCGTAATGGATACTATTGATTTGTGGAAGTTTTATGAAAAAAAGTATATGCAGCTGAACTACATGTAATGATCGATGTGAAAAACACATACCATTTGTTAGAAAAATTTCAAATCGCGCTAGTCCCAAATTCTGTTGCAGATAAAATCAAAAAATTCCATAATATACCGTCATACGAAGAGCCCATTAAAATGTACTATATGGCTTTGTATAGCGAAAATATTGGATATGATGATATTAAAATTGATGATGCTGATCTTGAAATGGTTGATAAGGCAAATAAGAAAATCTTGCGAGATAGTATGGGGTTTTGTTAGTGCTGAAAAAGAGTTAGAAGATGATGTTTGGGAAGAAATCAACACGTGGAATATAGAGCAGACATTGAAGAGTATTGATGGATTTTTTAAAGCTGGTTTTGACGACTGTAAAAAAACTGGTAGTTTTTCTAATAGATATCTTATTAGATTGTTTTATTAACATTTTTTTACATTGAATGTCACATCAAGTTTGCCCTACAAAAATATTGAAGAATGGGTCTTTGTTATCGTATGAAATTAAACCATGAAAAAATCCATACAATTTGTTAATAAATGAACAAACAAATAACTAGGTGAACATTAATGATAATATTTAATATAAACCTTATGTGGGCGTCCTCAAATACAATCAAATAATTAACAAAGTTTGTTACAGTAATTATACAAATATTAACAAAATAATGCTCCAGCCTGGTCACTCCGATCTGGTTGCTAAATATTGCCAAGTCGCCGATGCTCTTATCCGCAATATGAAAGTCACCAAAGGCAGACTTTGGTGACTTTTACACCAATTGTACACAAAACCCAAGGCGAAGAAACTCTTTTTGAAATGCGACCCTCACACCGTCGCAATAATAATTGTAAAATGAATAACCGACAACGAACAACACAATATTTCGTCACCACTGTGACTTAATAAACCATGTGTCCAGTGCACTCACGGGGAGCTAACGCCGTGGCTGATATCAACGCACACAACGCTGAGTATATACGAGGTTATATCACATCCGCCTTCCGGTGGTCTCAACTGATAAAACCGACACAGTTGTATCAGCTGACCACGAAAGGCGACATTAATATCTGGCGCGAACAGTTTTCAATACGTTCAACCGTGTAGAACAGTTTTATACGAAAGAGTTGATCAAACCAATTAAAAATCAGGTTGATGATGAACCCAACGTGAAAATTATTTTATCTAGTTCCTCTAATATGGACTTCTTAGACAATGATGAACAACCAGTCGTCGATGACGATAACACAATAATTATTAGTGACACTCACTTGTCGCCTGATCAACACGCAACAGTTAAACACATTAAAAATAGAATCAATTTGGAGAAAATTTTCTTAAATATCAAATCAATTTTTAAGCCAATTGCCGAAAAAATTAACATATTTACAAGTACAATTAGCATTTATGTCAATGACGTTTAATATTTGGGTATCTTATTCCTCGTTTTTGATTCAACATTCATTCAATTATTAACTTATATTTACTTATTTTTTTATTATAAAAAAACGATTTTCATTTATTGATTTGCTGAAAATATTGTACATTAAACATATGTTGTAATATTAAACTAACTGGTGTATTTATTTATAAAATGAAAAACTTTGCGTTAAGTTTCAATTGTTTACCATGATTACCAAGTTGTATACTGATGTTAGAAAAACATAAGAGGAAAGAAAATAAAAGGACACTCAACTTTTTTCGGTTTTAACAATTTATGTATGGTAAGAAACCATATCACAAAAAAGTAATGTCAATATTAATGAAATGATATATTAAGGATATAAAATCGCAGTTGGAGGCGAGACGAATTTGTTTTGCAACAATATTTTATTGTTGTCTACCTTAGGTTTGAATCAAGTTAGTATTATACACGCTTTTGGTAGTATATTGGGTTGTTGTCAGAATTAATATTTTCATATTATTTTTTTAAGTAAATTCAATAGATTAAACGTAAAGAAATGAAATGGCTTAAAAATTGTTTTTTGGTTTTACCAGTTGTTTAACGGCCAATAGAAAAATGCTATTTTACCACCTTAAAGTGTAAATGCCTTATTTGCTAGTCTAATACGTATTTATAAAATACATTGATTGTAAATTGTTTTTCTGTCTAGACTATTGATTTTTTGTCATAATAATTATGTACGGTTGAAAAGATGAGTTATTTTTGGTGGTGCATAGTAAATACAATTCCTTACAACCTAAAACATAAATAAAAATAACATTGAAATGATAGAGCTACTATAAAACTTATGTGATTATATTTATATTTTCTAAGTGAATTCATCAGTGTTATACAACGCGTTTGGTTTTCGGACAAAATAAATTCTTATTTAAAAAAAGAATCTTTAATGAAAGTTAGATTTTGTTAGTTAATGCTACTTGGTGTGAAATGTTGTTATTGTTAAAAAAGTACTATGCAAATACTCTTTGATCTCTGTAAATTAATTAAATATCAATATCATCGAAATGATTTTAACTTACTTGGCTCAAGATGTTAAACAAGTGCGATTGGTCTAAAAGTCCACGACTTAAAAGTGGAGAGGACGTTATGATTTGTTTCATAGTATAACTGTATGATACATTGTTATAGTTGAAGCGAGGAGGGGATGGCAGTCGTAGGAGGAGCCAGCTGATGTATTGTATCAAGTTTGAAGCAGACAATTTATCTTTTTCATATACACGCGTACCTGTCAAGTGTTGGATCGTCGACTTTCCTGGAGTTTTACAGTTGGGTTCGATAAAGAATAAAAGATAAAACGTTCAGGCCAACAGTATTAAGATAAAAAGCGCCGAACTCCGATACCGTATCACTGCAACAACAACTCGGGTAAGTTGAATCTGTGAAAGTGACGTATTAGTTTACATACATTTTTTTCGATTGGCGTCTGCAGTTGAAATTGTTTTATCGACAACTAATTTCCATTTCGGTTAGAGAACCGTTCATGTTTTATCATTAAAAGGTCAAATGGACCAAATCATTATCGTCCGATAAAATTATGAACCCTTAAAATATACTTTTAAAATTAGTTTTTAAAAAAAATTTGGTTTCAATAAATAACAAGAAATATTTTTATTCTATTTTTTTTTCACACAATATCCAAAATTGTAAGGGCTTAACATTGAGCTCTCCGATGATAATTATGTTATAAGTAGAACATTTAATCACTTGAATAATATTTTATAAATAATAACGTATAGAAGTTATAAAAATAATTATAAAGATCTTCGTTTTCTACATTATATGAGTACTTCATTTTCTATAAAAAAAAAAAACAATAAAAATCATTTATTTAGTAGAAAAATATTTTACAACTGTTAATTTAAATGCTTTATTAACCAAACATTAGACTATTACTATTTAAATTTGTACAAAATAATTTATGTGGTTCTCATTTCATTATTTCTTGTTTTGTATGTTACCTTGCATGTCTAAAAATGACAAATGATTTAACTTATAAACATCATAAAAAAACTGATAATATGTCTATAAAACATTTATATAATACACTAGTGTACATTTCTTTGGGTAACGATTTTAGTTTTGGTAAATTTTTAAAACTTTCATTTTATTGCGTTAAAATTTTTAATTTTAACTCAATATTTAAAAATGATTTCATTTTGTATAGTTACAGTGATCCGAATTTATGTAATATTGGATCAGTATATACAGATTTTGAGATTAGGTTTAGTATGCTTTTTTGTTAAGTTGCATGTCTTAATGTAAAAGCGAAAAAAATAACATTTTGTTCCTCCTGCAATTTTTAGAAATTTGTTTCATTAGCTAGCCCGATTCTTAGTATTCCCTTTTATTTTTAATTAAACTTTTATAATATTATTCATAATAACAAATTATAAGTTTATGACCAATCAAAATTAACAGTTTCTATATTATTCTTAGATTTGGCCAAGTGGCCATAAAACATTTTAATAGATTTTTTTTCAATATACAGCTGAAATAAACGGTTGCAATTGTTCAGAAACTTCAAAATAACGAAAAATGTTTATTTTGATACCCAAACTGTCTCTAAAAAAAAACTAGATATTGATAAGAAACAGAAAATAATCGTTAAAATAAAAAATCAGGCTGATTTTATTATACAATTTTATTTTATATATTTTACTATACAATTAATTGCAAAAGTAATAAATATTATTTGAGAAATATTTATTTTTTAAAAAAATTCCTAAGAAATTATTGTCGAAATATAATCATAATCACTGTTGACTTTGACATTTTAATATTATATTGGTCTTCTTATGTGTTGTAAGTGTGTGATCTATTAGTTAAAAAATAAGTACGAGTCTATTTTCAATACATATATTCTCTATATGTTTTATAAGTATACAATTTGGATTACGAAACAAACAACGACACGTAAGTTTGTCATTACCAGTAAAATATATACACGTTTAAGTCATTGGAAATCCTTAGAGTAAATACGAAACTTGAGTGTATAAACTAAACGTGTATACCTTTTAATCCACGTCGAAGATAACGGCAAACTCTTTGTCGCTCAACACTCGAGATGCTCTATTTCACGAATCGCGTGTACATTCCTACATTTTTCATATATATTTATTCTTTTGTCCTTCAAATAAAAAAAAAATTATTAAACAAACGTTGGTGCTATCTACTCGAGTCGAATCCGAGAGTAAAAAAAAAACATTCACGACAATCGTTTGAATTACTATTCCATTCTATGAACACTTAGTACCACTTTTGTAGGAAAACACAACTCGGTGTCAAAAACTATTTCGCACATGCAATTTATCGGTTAAAACGGATTTGAAATTAATGACGCACTGCTTCCGAACAATCATGTCGTCCAAACGCTACTGTCGAGCACGACAATGTATACTGATAGCGCCCAAGTAATTTTTTGNATGCAATTTATCGGTTAAAACGGATTTGAAATTAATGACGCACTGCTTCCGAACAATCATGTCGTCCAAACGCTACTGTCGAGTACGACAATGTATACTGATAGCGCCCAAGTAATTTTTTGTGTGTGTGTGTGTGTGGTTTATCATGCAGAACCGGGATATCATTGACAAAAGTTGGGGTTAAGATTAGACAACGGCTATCCCGTTATCGACAAACGTTAAAAAAAAAAAAACAAAATGTATAAAACCTGCTAAGATATCAGGCACCCGTTCTTCCTTTTATCTTGCGGTTTTGTAGCTAGATAAAAAATTAACGAAAATAAATTCACTCGACCTGTTGATAGACTCGCGGCAACAGTCTAACCAACGTTACAGTGTCTCTTACAGCGCTGTTCCATGGCTTCAACTCCGTAGCGTGTTTAAAAAAGCTACAAATCGACTTTGTAACAGAATTAGGTACTATATTGTGTTATTATGACTCGTGTGTGGCGCTCGTCAGAAAGGGAAACTACTGCGGGTAGCGATGACGTAAAAAATAAATATTATAGTGTTCATCGGCTGATAGGTTTCACTCTCATCTCTTTCGAGTTTGACCCGGCGACGCGATAGCGCTGACCGCCCCCGCCCTCGTCGTCGTGTTTGTTCCTTTTAAATGTCCTGGGAACGATGTCAAACGAAGATAAAAGTGATAATATTGATGTATCTGAACCATGTTGTATTTTATATACGCGCATCGCGTTTTACCCAACGTTTACAGTGAGTTTTTAATGTTTTTAACAAATATGTCAAAGGGCATGGATGACGACGGGACTACCAGAGGAGTGATAAGGCCGGCCCCCGCTCATATCAGAACCATTACGACGTCGGGTCATATCACAACAGTTCCAAATGTGGTCGACGGTCAGACTCAAAACGAGAGCACAGCCGCAGATACTATGGCACAACTCAAAGTACAACAACAGCGACAAATCGAATATAGACATGAAGGGTAATATAATTTTTATTCATTGTCATGTTATTCTTTATTAATTATTTGTCGATAAAATGTACTTTCAAGTATCTCCGATAATTTATTAACTCATCATGCATTAGTATTATTGTTTGGTTCGCAATTAAAAATCATATATAAATATGTTCATTAGGAATTGCACTCCGGAAAATACGGAATGTGTTTCGTCAGAAGTTCTTCTTAATGAATACACAGATAATGGCACCCCGGCAACTCGTTCACCGGTAGATCCAGTATCCTCACCAAAAGATTTTCAGAAAGACCCCAGTCCGCCAACGGAAGGTATTCGGCTCAGAAGGAACGTGGGCGGCGCCGAAGTACAGTTACAGTTACCAGTAGAAAAGATATCGACGTTCCAAGGGTACATGTCGGACTATTCGAATCACCAACGACACCAACGGGTCAGGTACTTAGAGTACAGGGACCAATCTCAACATGATGAGGGCAGATTCGATCAGCCATCGCAACTACTCAAGTACGACCATCATCAACAAGGTAAAGTGGATCCAAATTCGAGCTATGTTACCTTGGAGTCGGTCAACGATGTTTATCAACAACAACAGCAGCAGCAGCAGCAGCAACAAACATACCAACAACATAGTTATCAGACATATCAGACGTACGACGGAGAACAACAGCAAGACATGTTTAATATGACTTACGAAAAAGACGGTCACGTTGGTTATTCACTCAAGAAAAGCTATCAGCAGCAAACTATGATGTTACAACATCAACAACAACCAGAATATCAAGGCGATGGTAACGGCGGTGAAGCACAGCAGGACTTTTGGTCTCACGAAAATCAAGTGACTGACTTTACAACAAATGAGGAGACTTTGGCTGCCGCTAATGTGTTGCAAATGGAGAGTTTAGGTCAAACTGATGGAAACGTTCAAGTGACGCCACACTATACCATATTTCAAAGTACCAATCCCGGACCTTCGTGGATTGACGAACACTATGACCAAAGTGAGTTTGATTTTTATTTATATTATTCTCTTAAAGTTGTTAAAGTCCTGTCATTCAAAACAAACATTTAAACTGTGTAAACTACTTTTTAATTTGTATAATATTTGACTTTGTATTTTATAGACGGAATCCTAAATGTAGACATCAAAGAGTGTGTCAATTGTGCAGCTAACGTTACACCTTTGTGGCGTAGAGATGGAACTGGCCATCATCTGTGCAATGCGTGCGGCTTATACAATAGAATCAATGGAGTGAATCGACCCCCGGTGAGGTCGACTCAGAAAAAAACTACCCAGGTAAGTTAAATGTTTTGATTACATTGCTACTCTTATTTATCAAAATGAAACCATGTCGACTGATGACTACCAGTATTTCTGCTATTGGTTAATGCTTTCAATGTTCATTTTATCGTTGTAGCGGTTGAAGAAAATGGTGTATAAATATAAAAATGAAATGGACATCATGCGATACTACAACTTATATTATTCATACTTTCAATCGATGCGCTTTTCTATATTCCAATCTAACACTATTTAATTGTAATATGTTATTTTACGATACTAATTACTCAATTTATCTACAGCAAACTGGAAACAAACGGTCCGGAGTCTCCTGTGCTAATTGTTCAACAAATACCACTACACTATGGAGAAGAAACAACAACGGCGAGCCTGTGTGTAACGCTTGTGGACTATATTTTAAATTGCATAATGTAAGTTTTTGTTAGTCATAATGACATTTTTTAAAGCATTAAAATGTTGTATAGTTTAAATTACTTTAGCTTATTTTATAAATGAAAAAATTATAATTTTTTTATATTTTTCTACGACTAAGCTGCGTCGGGCTTATATAACTTATTATTTAAACTTGAAAAATATGTAACAAACAATTTGTCTTGCTTATCTTGTTTGACTTTGAGCGGTTAATGTGAAGATATATAGGTTCCTGTAGAAATCGACAATGGTTTCCACGCTGCATTATTATACTCTCTTTTCCCACGACTCCAATAAGATTTGTTTGTTTTTTCATCATTTTCGAGAACACGCGAGGACTTGTCGACCCCTTTTAGCTAGCTTTTACTTTCATTGCAAACAACTAAATCTTTAGTTCGTACATCAGGTACTATTTTCAATAATTGGTTTTACTTAAACACCAAATTGCCAGAGAGTATGTAAAATTTACGAGATGATTTTTTTTAACTTGTACAATTTCACCAATTCAATATATTTTTTTAACCGATTGGCGGAACTGCAGTTGAACCGGAATGACTTCTAGTTTGGCTCATATATCACGTCACCCGGTATGTAAATATCCGTTGAGAACGAAACTGTTTTCCGGGACACTGCCATCACAACAGACGTGACTAGTTCACACACATAGGATAGTTGTTGTGTAAATATTAGTCGGACCTGTGCTTAGATGACTAACTGACGTCAGAATCGAAAACAAAATAAATGACTAAAATGTTGTTACATTGGTATTACAGGTTAATAGGCCGTTGACGATGAAAAAAGACGGGATACAGCAGCGCAAAAGGAAACCGAAGAACCCAACAGTCGGTTTCGCCCAAAATTCGTCATCCAAGGAGAAACCACAAGGTTTGTAATAATATGAAATGTATATTAGTAATTTGTTCAGTTGTGTGTTGTTACTTTTTTCCGTGATATTATCTGAGTGTACACAATCGGCACCCGGCGACGGAGCACTGCCGTCACTCATCACTATAGGCATGGGATTACCGTCTTATCAGTCAACGTGTGTCAATATTGCAGTGTTTGCACAACAGAATAAGGTGAAGTGCACCACAAAGAATTAGATGAGTTAGTGTAACTGATAAGGAAAGTGTTTAACAATGTCGTGACGGTAAACAGTGACATAAAAGTTTTAAAAAAATATTTGCTGCACAAATCGAACGTAGGAATTATAAAAAATATTAAACAGTTACATCGTACGCCTAAATGCTAATTTTGAGTTCTCGTTTGGTCAATCTTTTCGTAAAATATATATAAAAAAAAAATAATTNTGTGTGTGTGTGTGTGGTTTATCATGCAGAACCGGGATATCATTGACAAAAGTTGGGGTTAAGATTAGACAACGGCTATCCCGTTATCGACAAACGTTAAAAAAAAAAAAACAAAATGTATAAAACCTGCTAAGATATCAGGCACCCGTTCTTCCTTTTATCTTGCGGTTTTGTAGCTAGATAAAAAATTAACGAAAATAAATTCACTCGACCTGTTGATAGACTCGCGGCAACAGTCTAACCAACGTTACAGTGTCTCTTACAGCGCTGTTCCATGGCTTCAACTCCGTAGCGTGTTTAAAAAAGCTACAAATCGACTTTGTAACAGAATTAGGTACTATATTGTGTTATTATGACTCGTGTGTGGCGCTCGTCAGAAAGGGAAACTACTGCGGGTAGCGATGACGTAAAAAATAAATATTATAGTGTTCATCGGCTGATAGGTTTCACTCTCATCTCTTTCGAGTTTGACCCGGCGACGCGATAGCGCTGACCGCCCCCGCCCTCGTCGTCGTGTTTGTTCCTTTTAAATGTCCTGGGAACGATGTCAAACGAAGATAAAAGTGATAATATTGATGTATCTGAACCATGTTGTATTTTATATACGCGCATCGCGTTTTACCCAACGTTTACAGTGAGTTTTTAATGTTTTTAACAAATATGTCAAAGGGCATGGATGACGACGAGACTACCAGAGGAGTGATAAGGCCGGCCCCCGCTCATATCAGAACCATTACGACGTCGGGTCATATCACAACAGTTCCAAATGTGGTCGACGGTCAGACTCAAAACGAGAGCACAGCCGCAGATACTATGGCACAACTCAAAGTACAACAACAGCGACAAATCGAATATAGACATGAAGGGTAATATAATTTTTATTCATTGTCATGTTATTCTTTATTAATTATTTGTCGATAAAATGTACTTTCAAGTATCTCCGATAATTTATTAACTCATCATGCATTAGTATTATTGTTTGGTTCGCAATTAAAAATCATATATAAATATGTTCATTAGGAATTGCACTCCGGAAAATACGGAATGTGTTTCGTCAGAAGTTCTTCTTAATGAATACACAGATAATGGCACCCCGGCAACTCGTTCACCGGTAGATCCAGTATCCTCACCAAAAGATTTTCAGAAAGACCCCAGTCCGCCAACGGAAGGTATTCGGCTCAGAAGGAACGTGGGCGGCGCCGAAGTACAGTTACAGTTACCAGTAGAAAAGATATCGACGTTCCAAGGGTACATGTCGGACTATTCGAATCACCAACGACACCAACGGGTCAGGTACTTAGAGTACAGGGACCAATCTCAACATGATGAGGGCAGATTCGATCAGCCATCGCAACTACTCAAGTACGACCATCATCAACAAGGTAAAGTGGATCCAAATTCGAGCTATGTTACCTTGGAGTCGGTCAACGATGTTTATCAACAACAACAGCAGCAGCAGCAGCAGCAACAAACATACCAACAACATAGTTATCAGACATATCAGACGTACGACGGAGAACAACAGCAAGACATGTTTAATATGACTTACGAAAAAGACGGTCACGTTGGTTATTCACTCAAGAAAAGCTATCAGCAGCAAACTATGATGTTACAACATCAACAACAACCAGAATATCAAGGCGATGGTAACGGCGGTGAAGCACAGCAGGACTTTTGGTCTCACGAAAATCAAGTGACTGACTTTACAACAAATGAGGAGACTTTGGCTGCCGCTAATGTGTTGCAAATGGAGAGTTTAGGTCAAACTGATGGAAACGTTCAAGTGACGCCACACTATACCATATTTCAAAGTACCAATCCCGGACCTTCGTGGATTGACGAACACTATGACCAAAGTGAGTTTGATTTTTATTTATATTATTCTCTTAAAGTTGTTAAAGTCCTGTCATTCAAAACAAACATTTAAACTGTGTAAACTACTTTTTAATTTGTATAATATTTGACTTTGTATTTTATAGACGGAATCCTAAATGTAGACATCAAAGAGTGTGTCAATTGTGCAGCTAACGTTACACCTTTGTGGCGTAGAGATGGAACTGGCCATCATCTGTGCAATGCGTGCGGCTTATACAATAGAATCAATGGAGTAAATCGACCCCCGGTGAGGTCGACTCAGAAAAAAACTACCCAGGTAAGTTAAGTGTTTTGATTACATTGCTACTCTTATTTATCAAAATGAAACCATGTCGACTGATGACTACCAGTATTTCTGCTATTGGTTAATGCTTTCAATGTTCATTTTATCGTTGTAGCGGTTGAAGAAAATGGTGTATAAATATAAAAATGAAATGGACATCATGCGATACTACAACTTATATTATTCATACTTTCAATCGATGCGCTTTTCTATATTCCAATCTAACACTATTTAATTGTAATATGTTATTTTACGATACTAATTACTCAATTTATCTACAGCAAACTGGAAACAAACGGTCCGGAGTCTCCTGTGCTAATTGTTCAACAAATACCACTACACTATGGAGAAGAAACAACAACGGCGAGCCTGTGTGTAACGCTTGTGGACTATATTTTAAATTGCATAATGTAAGTTTTTGTTAGTCATAATGACATTTTTTAAAGCATTAAAATGTTGTATAGTTTAAATTACTTTAGCTTATTTTATAAATGAAAAAATTATAATTTTTTTATATTTTTCTACGACTAAGCTGCGTCGGGCTTATATAACTTATTATTTAAACTTGAAAAATATGTAACAAACAATTTGTCTTGCTTATCTTGTTTGACTTTGAGCGGTTAATGTGAAGATATATAGGTTCCTGTAGAAATCGACAATGGTTTCCACGCTGCATTATTATACTCTCTTTTCCCACGACTCCAATAAGATTTGTTTGTTTTTTCATCATTTTCGAGAACACGCGAGGACTTGTCGACCCCTTTTAGCTAGCTTTTACTTTCATTGCAAACAACTAAATCTTTAGTTCGTACATCAGGTACTATTTTCAATAATTGGTTTTACTTAAACACCAAATTGCCAGAGAGTATGTAAAATTTACGAGATGATTTTTTTTAACTTGTACAATTTCACCAATTCAATATATTTTTTTAACCGATTGGCGGAACTGCAGTTGAACCGGAATGACTTCTAGTTTGGCTCATATATCACGTCACCCGGTATGTAAATATCCGTTGAGAACGAAACTGTTTTCCGGGACACTGCCATCACAACAGACGTGACTAGTTCACACACATAGGATAGTTGTTGTGTAAATATTAGTCGGACCTGTGCTTAGATGACTAACTGACGTCAGAATCGAAAACAAAATAAATGACTAAAATGTTGTTACATTGGTATTACAGGTTAATAGGCCGTTGACGATGAAAAAAGACGGGATACAGCAGCGCAAAAGGAAACCGAAGAACCCAACAGTCGGTTTCGCCCAAAATTCGTCATCCAAGGAGAAACCACAAGGTTTGTAATAATATGAAATGTATATTAGTAATTTGTTCAGTTGTGTGTTGTTACTTTTTTCCGTGATATTATCTGAGTGTACACAATCGGCACCCGGCGACGGAGCACTGCCGTCACTCATCACTATAGGCATGGGATTACCGTCTTATCAGTCAACGTGTGTCAATATTGCAGTGTTTGCACAACAGAATAAGGTGAAGTGCACCACAAAGAATTAGATGAGTTAGTGTAACTGATAAGGAAAGTGTTTAACAATGTCGTGACGGTAAACAGTGACATAAAAGTTTTAAAAAAATATTTGCTGCACAAATCGAACGTAGGAATTATAAAAAATATTAAACAGTTACATCGTACGCCTAAATGCTAATTTTGAGTTCTCGTTTGGTCAATCTTTTCGTAAAATATATATAAAAAAAAAATAATTACTAAAATTATGTATTTAAAAAAAAAAAACCGAAAATTTAAAGTGTTTATTATTTGTTTTCATATTTCAATCCATATGAATAATAATTATACATAAAGTAGTAAATCAGATTCAAACATTAAAACAGTTAAGTTGTGTATCATTCAAAAATAAATTTTTTAATTTAGAAACTAACAATAAAGTGAAGCTATGGCACTCAGCTACTTATCTTATTAACTTTGTAAAGTATGAGCATATTTTTTTTTAAAAACATAATTATTTAATCAAGTTAACTAACTATACAATTAATTTTATCATTATTTAGGATTATAATAATTTGTTATTACTTAAGCTTGTTTGCCAAAATATTTTTTGATTTTGATTTACATTCTTTAAGTATTTAAGTAAGTGAAACCTGAATAATGAATCTTTCCAAATCTTTTTTTTAAATTTTAAAATAATATTTTTCATAACAATTAAAAAAATAACAAGTTTTTAAAATAATTTTATTTAATTTGTTGAGTATTGCGCAACTTGTAGTTAGACTACAAAATTATATTATTTTATTAATTAATATCAGTGGCGGCGTGTTGTATATAAGGCATTTTAAAACAATTATTCCATGGCGTTATGACTTAAGGTTCACTTAAGGCTGACTTACAGCTTTTTCTCTTATTCACATCATCATCATCCCCTTAGCTTCTATGCCAACTGTTTGTGTTCGGCTCTACCTCATAATGAATCGACAAGACCGGCTGTCGACCTGATGCAAGTCCATTATGGCTGAAGTAACCATTAAGAATCAAAATGTGTATTGTAGAAGTTCTTCCATTACCCATCCAAACAGCAAACGGCGTAGCTGAACATTTGAGTTAAGGCAGCGACTGAATTATCTATTCCGTTACACCAAGTCCTTTTTCTTAGATTCACATATTACGTTACAAAAAATTAATTTTTAGGATCAGAGTTATTTTTTTAACTTGTTAACTCATTATTTAATATATAAATATAGGATATTAATTTTTTTGAGATGGCATAAAAAATTATATTTTAAACTTATTTAATATAGCATTTATAAAAAAAATAATTAGTAAAAATAATTGAAATACATAAAGTTCATAAAATACTTGAATTATTATAAATTTAATGCATGAAATAATAAATCTACTTTTTGGAAACCGATAGCTAAGTTAAATATCGAATTATTTTAATATCTCACATTTGACATTTTGAAAACTGACTACATTATCATAGTTAAGTATATTTGAAAACCCGAACATGTAACTACATTTATAGATTATGTGAATAAATATTTATTGCTATTTTCTCTGTCGAATGAAAGAAATTATTTTTAAAATGACGTATAAATTGATAGGACCATACATGCTAGTTTAGTTGCATATTTAAAAATTTAAGGAGCTATTACTTTGTAAACGCTCACGCTGTTTCATAAGTTTAGTTTTTTAACATACTTTAAAAGTAGCAACGAATAATTTATAATTAATGGTTGAAAAATAATTAACATTAAAATATAGTTAATACATTTTATTTTGGTATGTAGGTGAAGTTGCCTCAAAACTTTTACTTCCTCATTTATTTACTGGATCGTCTGACGGAAAAATTCAACACAGTCAACTTAATTATGAAACAGTTGTTATGGCAACACAAGATCATTATATACCTCATGGTTCTCAGTTACACATAGTACCTCTTCCGTCAACATCAAATAATCATGTTCGACATATGTCAAGGTATTATTTATTATGAAATACATAACTGAAAATTTTTTTTAAACTATTAAATAGAAGTATTTTTGATTTTTTTTTTTTTATAAATTCATAGTTATTTTTAAAATACGAAAATAGTTGGTCATATCTTGTAATGCACCTATCCTAAATACTATATAACATTTTACTCTCGGTCTTTATATTCTTTAATAATTTTATTCATTTTTAATAAACAAAACAATGTATTTCATAATGTATGCATCAGTATTAAAATCAAAATAACTGAATAAATAATATTGTTCAAATCCTAAAGTATACCACTACAGGATTATATGCTCATAAGGTGTACTTTGGTCTACCTTAATACAGCCTAATGGATTCACTAATTACAATGATTTTAGCTTCGTTGCGAAGCTAAGAATGTATTAATTTTGTCATGATGTGTATAGTTATTTTATTTGTATCTGTCACTACTTTTTCTTAGTATTCACTGGGCCGATTTTTCTTAATGGTACGTCAAAAGAACACAAATCGTACCTTATTAAAGGCATTACCTTATAAATTAATCATTTTTTCCTCGTTTGCTGTAAATGATGGAAATCCCTAAAAAAATAAGATTTATAAATCGATAAATTTCTTCGATATTATTAAAATTTTTTTTTCTCAAAATTGTCATAGCGTTTTTAAAAATGAACAAATCAAAATAATTTTTTTATATAAGTACATTTAGTAGATACTTTCTTTTCTTATGGTAAAATTTTGTTGAAAATTTGACCATTTACTTTCTTACAATGGGCATTCAAAATAGAGGTTTTTTTACGAAACGTTAACTTTTTCAATTTAACTTTTGAAAATGTACCGTAAATACTGCGTCTATTAAATGTATATTAAATTAAAGTTTATGTATTGTACTATAAATTAAAAAGAAAATTTTGTTTTGAAGACCTATCATTTATGTGCTTATATGGCTGCTTAGAAAATAAACATGCTATTCAAAGTGGATTTTTCAATATGAAATTGTCTTTTTGCACATTTTTTTTTTAGTTTTAATTTTACACCGTTATTACTTTTCAAAAAATGTACAATTGGCGATTTTTTATATTTAAATACCATACGAGGGATTGCTATAGTAATGAGTCTACTGATTTTCATAATAGTTGCATTAATCTTAATTACATTGAATATAAAGTTAAGCTTATTTTGAATATTTTGCCTCTCCTAAATTAAGAAAAACTACTTTAAATTTTTGTACTAGAATAAATTGTCATTTTTAGCTACTGACAAATACACAATACAGTTGCCACATCGGTGATAATAAGATCTTTCGCGCTTAGGATAGTAGGTTTTAAACCTTGTCTGTCGAATTGACTTTTTTTTTTTACATGTGTAGTTATAGTTTATAAGAGTAGTTTAAAGTTGTTTTAACTAATTTTAATGTAATTTATTTTCTTGTTTTAGTAACGAACAACCTATTGATCACATGGGATCTAGAGATATGTTGAGTAGTGTAATCACATCGACAGGAAATCATAACGTTCGAAATGATTAGATAATGAACTATATAATCAATATATTATTACTTACTTTCCTTTTGTTTTTATGCAAAATGTATTTTATAAAACGTTAGATCAAAATATATTTAATACAAATGTTCAATTAAATTTAAGTTTACCATAATTTTTAAACTAATTAGATTATTAGTGATATCGTTAAGAATTTGTTTAAATATTTTTTAAAGTATTCCCAATCTTGTACATATTGTTTTCTTATTTTATCACTAGATAATTTTTCTTTTTATAATTCATAAAACGTAATTCATTATTTGTATATAAATTATTATATTTGAAAAAAAAAGAATTGTTTTCCGCCTAAAAATGTACTTTAAAATGTTGCAATAAACAATTTTTTTTATATAAAAATATTTGAATATTAATAAGGTAACTACCATAGACAAAAGCACAATTACTTTATAATTTATTTAACTGTGATGCTGGGGCAGTCCTATAAATTATTATTAAAATTTTTTATTACACAATAAATGCCGAGTTCGGTAATTATAAATATATAACAAATTTTCAAAAAAAATTATAAAACTAAAATAAACGTAGAGTATACTTAAAAAAACAAATTGAAATGATTAGTTTCGGCGGTGCACCATTATAAGGTTACTGATGAAAAAATTGAATAAAACTCTCAAAAAAAAAAAAAATATAATAAATGAAACATGAAATAAACATAATAATAAATCTCTATGTAAAATTGGTAAACAAATATTGAAGTAAATATTAGTAATATTGACTGATTATAACATTATAAAAACATAATAAAAAAAATGTTTATAAGAATTTTTTAAAGTTGTAATCATTTTTATGTTTTTATGACAAGGTTCTAGCGGAAATTATTATTTCAGTATAATAGAAGAGTTTTCATTTAAATAAATATATTTAATTTTAATGTGTTTGCTTTCAATTTAAATAAACTTTTTATTTTCGGTAAACATATAATTTTTGTTAGACTATACTAATCTCAGATTTTCTAAAAGTATATTTAATGTTAGCCATTTAGTATTAAGTTTAAAATTATGATACCAAAAATTTATAAAAAAAAAATCACTTATTATTTAATCGATTTTGATTTATGTAAATAAAATATTTTAAAAGTATTAGTTACTAATTTTAGATTATACAGTTTTAATAAATGTTATTTTTAATGGCATCTTCTACATGTGTTTGAAATATTTGTTACTATAATGAATTAAATACATCTGAGTAAGGCTTTATTTTCATTATTGTTGCTCAATATCAATACTTCAGTGTTTTATAAATTCGACAATTAAATGGTTGTTATTTATGTTTTGACACCGTTCTGAAATTAGTACTAATAAATTATAACACACTTCCGCCAACATCATGAATGTCATCTAACTGTTGTAAACTAACCAAAAAATGTGTCCATTAATATAATTGAATAAAAATATAATTCATAATAAAACATTAATAAGGAATGGGTTTTACTCGTATGATTAATTGGTTGGGTCTCGCCGGCTAACGGATTTACCGCATGCACCCACGATAAACTTCTAAAGTTGCATTCAAATCTCTTAATTGATCTGGTATGAACGCACACGCACGTTTTCCAAAAAATAAAATAAAAAATCTCAAAACACACAAACATCACTTTACAAGCATTAAAACGCTGACACGTGCTGTGTACGATCCGGTTCTTGGACATACAGTACACGAATAATATGGGCGGATGCCAAACAGTGCATATCAAATAGATGTAGCGCCGTCAACCCGCATTTCAATTACAATACAACGTGTTTTTTGTACTAAAAAATGAGGGGTACAATAAGAAAAGGGTTTTTAAATAATAATACCTACCAGCTCATAATATGAAGTTTTTTGGAAACTTTCAAAGACCACAAAGATAAAGTTCACACCATACTAAATGATCCCGTTTTAAAGTTGTAGTAATATTGACATAAAAATAATACTTTTTCACATCTAAAAATTTAAATAACTATATACTATTGATATTAAACTAAGTTAGGAAACCGATACTTGCACATTAAATCAAATATTTAACAAATTAATTTAAATTTATTACAAAAATAAGAATTATTTTTGTATCAGATTTTTTGATGTTGTCTATGTATAATCTTAGATAATTTAAATTAAAAAAAAAAACTCAACTACCAATGGTGATAACCTAGTGTGGTTAAACCCCAAAAATTGAAAAATGTTACATATAAAATATATGTAAAATGTAATATAATTAATGTATTCTGAGAATGTCATGTAAAATAATAAAATTTCTTACTCCTTACAAATGTATAAATATTTTCACTTTGAGTGAACACACGAGGAATTATTTAGTAAAAAATTAAACAGATTTTTGACATGTTCACAAATTATCTATTTTCATTTAACTATTAAAAAAATTTAAATAAACATTTTTTAACGTAAATTAATAATTTTGCCGGATCAAAATTTTAAAATTTTAAAATTACAAAAAAATAAAATTCACTATTTTAGTTTTCAAATTAACTACATAATAATTTCCATAGTGTTTTGAAATATTTACTTAATATTTTTTGAATATAATTTTTAATGAAATTTTTAGGTACGTCCATAATGCCTTATATGCATTTCAACTTCAAAATTTAAATGAAATGTTTAACTAGCTTACATAATACTAAATTATCTACTCAATAAAATTACTTGTTATTTACTAGTTGTATTCGAATGAAGTTTAAACTTGAAACTATAAACTTGGGTGAATCTCGAATTATAATTATTTTTATTATCAGTTAGTATGTACTTCCGCATAATTATAAAAATATTCATATTGTAAAAATTAATTTTGAACATTTAAATATAAAAATAGGAATGAAATTTTAAACAATTCTTCAACAATAACAATACTTATTTTTTTGGAAATTTACCGATTAAATCTAATTAATTCTTTTGTGCATGTTTCTTGATTTCAACAAAAATTTTTCAATTTTTTTTGATACGTCGAATTACACTTGATAAATACTTCTAAATGTTTTCTGTAGATATCAATTGATAAAAGTTGAATTTCTTTATCGATATTTGTTAAGCGACATTTTTTAATGAATTTTTTTGTAGGTTATTTAGAAATAAATTAACTTTTTTATCATTAATCGGTCCATAGTCCTTTAAATAACTTTGCTTCTGTTATAAAGTATTAAAAATTATTTTCTCATATTATAATTCCTTATATACGATCACTAATATTATTTTTAATTATTAAAACCAGCAAAAATAAAATTAATAAAATATCTATTATCTTAATTAAAATATTTGTAATAAAACGACTTTTAATTATTACAAACTATGAATAAATAAAAATCTATGTTAAATTTCAATTCAACTCAAAATCAGGATTTTAATCAAAGTATTTTAAATAAAATTAGTTTAATTAATTCAATATTGTAATTAAAAATTTATTTATTTTTTTATTATAGCTTCACAAAAATATAAATTGGACCTAATAGTAAAACAAATTGTTAAAACTTAACTAATTAATTCGTACTGAATTTCTAATGAAAAGATTAAGAATTATTATTACCTCTAACTGTTATATAATTTAGGTAATAAGCCAACGTTTTCATATTTTACTTTATGAAAAAATCACTGTTACACGTAAAACTTACCTAAGTCATAACTTTTAATTTTTTAGGAATGAAAAAAACACATTTTTCTATTGAAAAGTTACATTTTTTTCTTTGATTTAAATGATCTAATTAATTAATCTTTCAGATTAATCGAGTAAACAAATTTATTTCAATAAACAAAAAATATTTTGCACATAAAAATTAATTATTTTTTGGCTTATTAAACTATTTATTTTTAAGCTATATTATAATCATCATGGACATCATATTCACTGGATCTGACTATAGATAATTGAAATTTCTATTATATTTTCGAGATGACTCATTTTAAGAATAAGTCAACTTATTCGCCTATTCACGTGCAACTGCGAAATTAGNTTTTTTAGGAATGAAAAAAACACATGATCTAATTAATTAATCTTTCAGATTAATCGAGTAAACAAATTTATTTCAATAAACCAAAAATTTTTTGCACATAAAAATTAATTATTTTTTGGCTTATTATACTATTTATTTTTAAGCTATATTATAATCATCATGGACATCATATTCACTGGATCTAACTATAGATAATTGAAATTTCTATTATAATTTCGAGATGACTCATTTTAGGAATAAGTCAACTTATTCGCCTTTTCACGCGCAACTGCGAAATTAAGATGATTTAAAGAAAAATAACTTCTACAAATAATGAATGGTGTATGTGTTATTTGTAATAACTAAATAGACTATTCATGTTATATACAATTATACTTATAAATTTACTTATAGTGAAATTGTTTTAACTGTACAAAATCATTTTACTGACTGGGTAAGTAAGTGATAGCGACGCTGATAAATTAATAAAACGCTGATGAGTACTATTCTATTAATATTAAAAGATTGTATGCGTCAAACTTTAAATATTTCATAGGTAATTATTTGAATAGTACATTGAACTAAGAATGCGTTAATTACCTCGAATCATTCATTATGGTGTTTCTTAACGACTTAAATTTTTGTGATTATGTATAAAAAATGTTTCTGACGACTAATATAAATTTATTTATATTCTATAAGACAATTTTTATGTCGTTCGTCGGTATAATCAGAACATCATTTGTTGAACAACTTTTAACACTTTTTTAATCCAGTAAACATGGAAGGTTTTATTTTGTACAGTGGTGTACTTTAAATTTTACTGCCCCGGGTATATCATTAAATATTTTGATGTCCCAAAAACTTCAATTTTTTTATATTAGTTTATAAATAGATCTTTTTAGCGAAAATACAAGGTCAATTGCTTCTGATATATTCCCTTTAAAATTTACTGCATAGGGTAATTGTTATTATTTAGACACCTCTAAATAAGAAAGTGCCTTAGAGCATATCGAATTCAGTACAAGAAGAGTAGGAAGGTGTATTTTAAGAAGTATTTAGTGATGAGTTCATCACTAAATAATAGTGTCTAACAGCTGTTTATTTAAGTAATATTATGACGTTGTGCAGGTAACGTGAAAAAGATAACATCGACCGGACCGTAAGGTTTACCATGACAAGGACGGGAGACGTAAATTAACGTTCGTGTAGTTTTTGATACTAATAAAAAAAAAAAACAGAAATTCATTGAAAGGGGAAAATTAACACTTTTTTTACGATTTACAGTATAAAAAAGTATTAAACAAAACTAAACTCCTAAATGGATATTAATAAGGTCTAGTGTTCAGGTA